CACGCTGACAATGAAAGTGCATTAAAACAGTAAAGAAAAAGTGTGAGGGGCAGTATGTGGGGCAGTGTGGGGTGGAGATCGCGTGGTGAGACAGTGGAGGGGCGTTGGGTGGGTAGAAGGGGGGCTTGATCCAAAACTTCTTGGGTAAAATAATAAAGAAATAAGACAAATTTTTCCGTAACTTGAGAGGGGGCAGTTAAGAAGCAGTGGAGGGATGGCAGTGTGTGTTTCGAGGGGCAGTAGAGAGGAACTGAGTGGTTGTGTGAAATGCTTCACACATTAAACAACATAATATAGAAGGATATATCTGGCTATAAAGCATCGCCTATGTATATGTTCAGACAGAAATATGGCCACATCTTTTAGAACGAACTTCCAAGATAGCTTACTGGACTAGTTAGTGGGACCACTCTTACAACCTATGTGTAGGTGTATATTGCCATACCTGTTAAACAATTTTCTAACTGATACGATACCTATCACACCATGGGCACATTATATAATGCAAGAAGTCCACAGTGTAGCCTGCCTTCGAAGAATTGGTTCCAGGGTGAAAACATATTTTTCAACGTCGAATTTTCACCAAATAAGCTGGCACTTTTTGCCAAAGCATCAGATCCAGACTTATGAGCTTTTCCAAAGAAGCCTGATATCTCAGGAACCACTCTTTGCCAGGAAGGCTAGTGATCCCTGCTGAATGCCTAGCATTGGACTCACTCATCCCTACCTCTAGTCCTAACACTGTTTCATACTCACTCAGGCCCTAAGACCTGTGAGGCAAGGAAAATCTAAAAATCACTATAGAGAAAAATTTTACAGAAAAATCTTTCCCAAAAAGCCAGGGTTTTATAGAAATTTTTTTCAATGACAGCAGTTTTTGAAAAAATTTTCATTTACGGGGAACAGAACCTGGTTGTCAAATGTGTACAAAGACGTACGAACCTCATCTATATCTAGTTTTTTTTAATATTAACAGAATTTGAATATCTTACGTAATCAAAATAAATATAAGAAAGCGATATTTCCTCAAAAACTTACGGTATCCCCACAAAACTTGCTTTTAAAGAAAAGTAAGAGATAAAGCAAGTTAGATGTGTTTGAATAGAGAACATGCATTAGCAATTAAAAAAAAAATTTTGTTTCAGATTCTTAATATCCATTCTTTTTCTTGTTGTCTTTTACGAAGAAAAAATACTAAAATTTGACTGTACTTACACATTTATACTTTTTGTAGTATGATATAACACATGCATAATACAAAGTCTTAACAGCTTTTCATTATATCTTTTGCAGCAGCTTTTTAAATAAGTAATAATTACTGAATAACGGGACACCGTATGATGAGATCTGATTTCTGACTTGCAAAAATATGAAATCCATTCAAAAAAAGTAAATATTTTTTTTTTTTGCGAGTATTCACTCACAGAAACTATTTAAAAATTTAAAATTTTTTACACGTTAATAACACAACAACTATTCCTTTCTAACTCAACATTACTTCTGCTAGTAATTGTAATTCATATAAACTCAAAAACTTGTTTTTGTTGTATTATAAGACTGTAAATAATAAGTCGACCTGACACAATACAGTTATAATACTGCAAAACATTATGAAAGGTAAAGAAAACAATTTATGGAAGCTTTATTATGTACTTATGACATAAATTGTGAGGGTCTATTTTTCTACATTCTAGTGAAATGATACATGAAACATTCAGATGTCTAGAAATTGATGTCTTGGATATAAACATTCTGGAAGACCATTTTGGATCACGTTTGAAATACTTCCCGTTTTTTAGATTATACATACTTGACAAAAGGAGATTTTTTTGAATGTTGTTAACATTTGCCTTTTGATATGAACGGCAAAAGTAAAACAGAAATGTACATTGGAATATCTTACGTCATTTAAATAATGAAATTCATTCAATTCAAAGAAAATGGAATTCATTCAAATACCAACAGTATCCCCGCAGAATTAACTTCCAAACAAAAGTAAAAAATGAATAAAATTAAACATGTTACAATAGGTAACGTGCATTTATCATTTGACGAAAGAATCTTGCGTTTTTTAGACTAAATATGCATAACATTTTGTATTGTTTTTGTAGAAAAAAGTTTATAAAACTGCATGTATGCATTTATTTCCTTTTTTAGTATAATATACAATGACACTTCTAATACGAACTAAACTTAATTGACAAAATTATGAATAAATACTTTTCTTTATGATTAAATTATAAAAAGCAAAAAAAAAAAAGAAATAGGGAAACACTTTTATAATTAAATGAATTTTATCAACATCACGGTACACAAAGGTCTTACTTCTAACACTTAGTGTTATTATGTACTCAAATTACTTCCTGTCATATGAAAAAGACACAATGTTTTTGATTGGTTTTAATTAAAGCCTACAGAACATTTCATTAGAGGGATACTTGCTTCCTGACAATAAACAAAGCATGCTATCGCTTTCAGGGTAACTAGTATTGGGAAGAGTAAGTTTTAATTGTGTTCAACGATTTTAAATTTATCTATATACGACTAAACGTATATTCTTATAAACTAACAACGAGTGCATTATTACAGTTATCTGTTTTTGTTATTTAAACAGTTATGCTTAGAAACCCTCTCTTTACCATTGGGAAAACCTTTAATTACTTGGTGCATCAATTTAAAAAGAAGTCCACAGCTCGCAAAATAGTAAAAGATGCAAAAAAAGGAAACGGAAAAACTATAAGTTGCTCAGTATTTTTAAAGTTATTACTCACACTAACAGGTTGTTTGGGTACCAAAATATGTTGGATCACTTAATTAAGAAATATTTTTTTCTTTTAGAGTTACGTAAAACAAAAAATTAATCTCTTGGAAGGGCTAAAAAAAGTTTGCCACTGGATTATGAAAAAAATACGATTGTAAGATCTGTTTGCATTATTTAGAATCGGAGATTATACGCTCAAAATAGGAAAAAAAAAGCCAACTTTAGTCATCTTGCGTGAACATCCCTTTAGTGTCCCGTTCGATGATGCAGTGCTATGGTTAACCAGTTAGGCAACCAGTTGTTCCACTCTTCGATTACAGAGCCATCCGGATCTATACATGTAGAAACAGGTAATAGAAGTAATTCATTTCTTGATCATGATATTTCAAATCATTCAAAGTAGTCGAAGACTATTCAGAAAAAAGCCGCCTCACTTAAAGATACTGCCTTCAGGACGCGTGACTCTGCATGCGTGGATAAGGATCAAGACACTAATCAAAGCAGCAAAGGTAAATAATAAGATCCTAGTCACTCGAATATACGTTTTATAGTAACAGTAGACAGTACAGTAAGACGATGGCAATTTTACTTTAAGAAGTAAGCAAATATAGGATGTGCCAGCTTAATAGGTGACACAGACGCTGTTACTAGTTATTCAGTAAATACTGGGTATACGGTACAGTGGCTCATAGCAGTGGCATTGGCAAGACTTTTAGCGAACGCTTATATGGATAACAAGTACTTGCCCATCAAATTATTATTTAGATATTTGTCAAGGTTAAATAAGACCTAATAAGTAGTTTTAATAATAAAAGTTTTAATCTGTCAAAAGCCAATCACAATTTCAAAGATATAAGTAAGTTATTTTACAGCATTGAAAAATATTGATTTTAGCTATGTTCATCCTGAGAACCTGAAAGCATTTAACTCCAACTGAACGACCGAATTTTTACTCACGATTTTTTAGAGTTATAGCTGTAGTATAACATGAGCTATAGACAATGAATAGCTGTGCGTTGGCATTAAGCAGTGTGCCAGTTGTAGCTGTAAAAAAAGACTTTAACAGAGTCAGAAATGGTGAGACTGTAACGAAATTAAGAGATTCAACACGTCAAAAAGGAGAAAGTAAGAGTTATTATCAGAAAGAAGACTTTGACAAAACGTCACAGCCCCAATGTTAATTCGAAGATTAAGTAGGTAAAGGTTTTCATAGGGACCTGATTTAGCTGACTTGACCTATCTGACATACCATGAGGTTCACACGTGTGTGCACGTGTGAGTGTCTACTAACAAATTTGTACAAATGCGATAGTTGTCAGATGGATGCAACTAAAAGACCACCAAAGGAGGTCAAATACAACAACAAAATGCAGAGATTGCAATGTTATAAAGTTTTCTAGAAAGTTTAGAATATGTGGAACTAACATAAATTTTTTTTGCACTTGTTATGTGTCATTTAAAAAAAAAATTATACTAATGAAAACATGTTATTAACAAATGCTCTTATGGAATGTAACTTCTTTGTCTCTCTTATTCAGACAAACATTATTAGAAAATGCAAGGATATTGTAAAAAAACCATCCAAAAGATTACTTATTGTTCAATAATTCAGTTCGTCAAGTTTTAAGGCTTATTGTAGTGCATTTTAAACAGTCCTAACGACTAACGTAAGTTAAATAGTGAGTTTGTTGGGTGCAAGACGAGATGCGTAGTAAGGGGGGCCAAGCTGCGCGTGCAGAGAAGACTCCCCGTTCCGCACTTTTTCGGGTTATACTCCTGGACCTTTTCATTAAGTACTGTCAGTAAGACCAACAGAAAAATGATTTTGAAAATAATATCCTAATAATTAATTGTTAGAAACACAATATCATTTATTTTTCTAGGTGCTAATTACCCTCCTTAAACATAATTGAAAAAAAGGAGGGGTAGAGAATCTCTGAACTTAAACGTAAGAGAGAATTCTTATTAAAATCTTGTGGCTCAGAACAGTAACTCTAAGAGATAAAGAAAAAACACCCAGTTAATATTATTAATCTAAGTAAATGCACAGTTTGTTTGTCATTTTAACAGAGATATTGCCAAATAAAATATTAAATCCTTCTTTTGCAGTGTATAGTATTATTATAATATAATTACGCTGCAGCTGACAATTTGTGTTGAAACAAATCATATCTTGAGCTTTAATATCAATAGTGCTTTTTTTATTTTACTGCTATCAAATGATTTTGTATAATTTCAGGATTAGAGTATTACCAGCATCAGTATTTGAATCACTTAATTCTTTGGAATTTTTAAACTTGCAGAACAATCGATTAACAAATATTGGAGAGGATGTCATCGAAAATGTTATTGATACATTAAGACTAATAGATATAACAGGTAGTGTATACTATATATTGTATTTTGTGTGTACATTATACACAAAAAACGACAATTCTTAAATCGTTTAAATGTGTGCTTGTTTTTCAACTATTGCCATTAATTTTACATAATTTTCTAATTTTAATTGTGTAATTACAATGACCATGCACAAATATGCACATAAACAATACTTTGTTTTCTTCTTTATCAGTGCAAAACATTTAAGGGGCATAATGTATGTAACGTTAAGTTTTTTTGAGAATCTGTATGTGATATAGAATACGTACGAAAGGACAAACAAATCCACTACACAATAAAAGCTTCATGCAAATTTTTCCAGTAATTTTCAAAAATATCTGATGATACAGACACCCTGTGAGTACAGACAACAAGCGCATCCTATGGGTTGAGTAATACTTCGAAATGTTAAGTAACAATTTCAAATTCTTTATTGTATAAAAAAAAAAAAAAAACGGAATAAGTATTTATGAATTAGTTTATCCCAGCATTTATAAATATAGTAACACTGATGTTTATTTAAAAAGAAAAAAAATATCCTGTCGAAACAGGATATAGCTTTTTTTGCAGGGAATGTGTAAATGTAAATGTTTGCAAAGATTCACAGGTCATTAGAAACTGCCTTACTTGTTGCAAAACTTTACTGGTGAAGTCCACAAACTTATAAAGAAAAGCCTTACGAATTTGATCTGTCAAAAGTGCAAGATATTGTAGTCTAAATCTAGATTATATTGCCACAAACATTGCTGTACCATTTTTTAAGTATTATGGATTTTTGTTGTAAAAAATTCAGCAGAAATCAATGCTTGCAAGTGTCTTAAATTGTCTATAAGGGTTCACTATTATACCTCAGAACTTAAGTTGTGGTACTTGTGGTACAAAACTCGTGGTACTTGAAAAAACAATACTTTTTTCTCTTTGCATACACTAAACAGTATTTTTTTATTAACCCTAGGAATTTTACGCACACTTGTGTGAAGTCTTACTTGCTTTCTCTCTTCTAGACCAGGAATAACGGAGGGCCCTCTTATTAACGTTGAATTGAGCAAACTTCTCATAACATCAATATCACATTTAACTACGAAAACTTAGAGCTCTTGATTTATGCATTTGTTCAATGTTTTGCTCACACAAGATTGTGTACCATAAATCTTTGATTCAGGGTTAATATGTCAATTTTTTTTTTCTTAATGAAAAATATTTGTAAATAATGAATAAAAGTTTCTTTTTCTTTAAATTTTGTGACGATTATTATGTAACATGGAAAATAAGCTTAGGCTTTATTTAATAAAAAAAATTGCTGTTCACTTTATTAAGTGAATAGGTCATTTAATATTGCCTGGTGACAATAAGAAATTAGCAGTGTTTTCTGTGTAGATTACCACGTCTTAATGAATTAATAATTATATTACAAAAATTTGTAAGAGGTAATTGCATTTTATACTAAATTTACATACATTAAAAATATTTTAAGCCACACAAATTTAATATTAACCAACACTTCATGAGAAAGAAATGAGACGGTGCATTATACAATAAGCAGTTAATAAAAAATTGATGAAGAAAAATAAGAAATGCCTTTTAAAAAAAGAAAACGTTACTGTCTCTTCATCACCTAATGCTATGTATCCTATCACATTTTTCGTCCTCTAATGAAGAAATTATGAAGCGTTGATATATATGTACATGGAACATTTAAAAAAACCTTGTAACGTAAAAAGTTCAATTGACAGTGAAATTGTACTTTGCTGACAAATTGTAAGTCGATCTTTAAATTATTTTTTGAGTTGCTTACCTTGTGCACTCAGCATACTTTTATTTACGCCAGAATAACATTTCAATTAATAAGTTTTTTATGAGACGAGAAGAAATTATCTTACTTACACGCACCAAAAAAACATAATTTCGTGCATTAAAGCAATTTCTACATTCTTACATAAGTGAATTAATTCTTGTTTCATACAATGACAGTAATAACCAACATTATCTTAAGTTTCTTTACAAACAAAGAAATAAATAATATATGTACAAATGATAAGGATAACACAGCAATCACAAAGATTTCCAGGTTTTAGGTGATACACGCTTTTAATATTTGATATACTTAATCAATTACAACAGGAGCCAGTAAGCACCACAGGTTGTGTTTGGATAAACTTTTGCGTTATTGCTTTATTAAGTTTATTTATAATTACAGCATGCAGTGAGCTCCTTGAGTTGTGTGGGGATTGACGTTATTAATGTTAAATTTATTTTATTAATAATCACAGCAGCCTGTTAACGCCCAAGGTTGTATGGGAATTGGAACTTTAAATTCTAAAATTCAAATTTGTTATCTGATATCGTTCTGTGATTTTTTTTTTTTTTCATGTTTTTGTTTTGTAGATAAACTGCTAGTTATCTAAAAAAGTGCTCTGATGTCAGTTTCTATTCTTTGTTTGTTATTATCGCCTTTATGCCAATGTCTCTTTTCTCCTGGAATGTTAATAGAGGATGCTGCTGTGTTGATACTCATATTCATAAAAAATGATACAGTGTTGTTACATTTGCAGCCTTTCTTTTATGTTATGATTTGCTTTTATTTAAGTGCCCCAGATTTTGTGGTAATTTACCCTTGTGGAATCAGATTCACTCTATTCATAATAACAGGAGCCACTTAGTGGCAAAGATTGTGTATTGATTGGCACTTGTGTTATTGTTTTATTTATTTTGTTAACAATTAAATCAACCAGGAAGCACCCCTAGTTGGGTGAGGATGGTCGCTTGTGATATCACACTTCTTTCAATAAAAATTACAGCAGCCTGTGAGGGCCCCAAGTTGCGTGGATATTGGCTATCACAATATTGTTGCTTAAATTTTATTCATAATCACAGCTGTCTGTAAGTGCCTGGGTGGTCTCGTGACTGAAGCTTTTGTTTATGTTCCATTTTTTTTATTCATAATAACAGCTATTAGTTAGCGATCTGGGTTGGGTAAGAATTGGTGCTTGCTTTATTGTTGAATTTATTGTTAATAGTTAGGATGATTAGGAAGCATTCTCAAATGAGTTAGGATTGACGCTTTCGTTATTTTATTTATATTATTAATAATTACTGCAGCTATGAGGCACCTCGTGTTATGTAAGAATTGGCACTTGCTTTACGATATTTAGATAACTATTCAACATAACAGCCATATGGTTCCCAAGTTGTGTGGGGATTTGCATCTGTGCTATTTTTCTGATTCTATGAATAAAAATAGCCACCTGTTAGCGCCTCGGGTTGTACGGGAATTGGTGCTTAAGTTATTGTCAAATTCATTATAAATAATAATAACAGCAGCCTGTTAGCACCCCAGGTTAGGTGGGGATGGACTCTTGCAATATTGTTTTATTTAGTTTAAAAATAATTGCAGTAGTCAGTAAGCACCCTGAGTTGTGTTGGAATTGTTGCTTTTGTTATTAACTAATTTTTTTTTTAACAACAGCTCACATTAAGCAAGCCGGGTTGTGTGAGAATTGGTAATTGCGTAATAGTTTTATTTATTATATTAAATTCAAGTGACTAGAAAAAGCTTTTGGTTGTTTGAGGTTCGTTGCTTGCGTTATTAAATTTTTCTTATTAATAATTAAAGCGACTAGAAAACATTTGGGGTTGTGTTAGGAGAAGTTCTTGCGTTATTTAATTTTTTTTCACTTATAATTACTGCAGCCATGAAACACCTCGTGTTGTGTAAGGATAGGCACTTGCTTCATAATATTTATATAATAAGTCAAAATAACAACTATAAAGTGCCTCGGATTTTGCGGGAAGTTGTGATAGTGCCATTTTCTTTATTCTATCAATAAGACAACGTCCAGTTAGCGCGCCAGGTTGTGTATGGATCAGCGTTTGCATTATTCTCAAATTCATTTTGCATAATTTATGAGACCGGATAGCACCCTGGGTTCCGTGATGATGGGAGCTTGCGTTATCAAACTTATTTTATCAAAAATTATAGCAGCCAGTGATCGCCTTAAATTGAGTACAGATTGGCGATTGCATTATTGTTTAACTTATTTTTTTAACTAGTACAGCGGCCAGTAAGCACCCTATGTTTTGTGGAGGCTGGCGCTTGCGATATGGTTATATTTTTTATAAATAATTACAGCAACCAGAAAGTTGCATTAAAATCAGCGCTTACAATATTTTCTTTCTCTTATTGATATTGAAACCAATTCAAAAACGCCTCAGGTTGTGTAGCAAATGGCAATTGCATTATTTATTTTATTTTTAGTAAGCAATTATAGTGACCAGACAGCACATCAGGTTATGTGGAGATTAGTGGTTGCCTTAAGTTATTTATTTTATTGTTTGACAAAGCATTTAGAAAGTGCCCAAAGTTAATTGGGAATCGGCGCTTGTACTATTTTTTTTATTTTCTTAATAGTAACAGTAGCCAGTGAGTGCCCTAGGTGGTGTGGGGAGTAGCACTCGCGTTATTTTCGTTATTTTTCTAATAATAGAAGCGACTAAAAAGCTTCTCGGGTTGTGTGAGGATTGGCACTTGCTTTTTCATATTTATTTTATTATTCATCGTATCAGCTCGTAAGTATTCCACAATGCGTGGGGAATGACACTTGTATTATTTCATTTATTTTTTTCATAATGACAGCAGCCAGTAAGTGAAAGATGAAAGAAACTGTATATGTCAAGTGCCAATAACCAAACAACTTAGGTTGTATTCTTGTCACCTTTACTATTTTCAATAAATTCAATAATATTGTGAGTGCCAATTAACACACAACCCAGGGCGCTAACTAGTCACTGCTTTGAGTAATAATTTAAATAAGATAGCATGAGCAGCAATCTTTTTAAATCTTATGGCATTTTCTGGTCATTTTGTTGATAAATTAAATCAATGTCGTATAGCAAGCATAAATCGTCACAAAACACAAGGCGCCTACTAGCTAATGGGATTTTTGATAAAATAAATTAATTAATGCAAGCGCTAACCCTCGCAAAGCTAGTGGCACTTTTTG